AAAAAATTTTATGTTTTTTAAATCGAAACAAGGAAACAACATGCGCCTCAGAGTCACATTTCAATATTTTTACAATGTCATTTTGTGTTTTCGTAATCACCCATAGCCACAGAACCTAGCCATTGTATCCAAACGAAATGTCGATGGATAATTTAATAACATGGTGAAATCACACTCTAACTTTTTATATCAGATCATTGGGATACGTTCTTCACTGATTTGAGAATATAATAATGTAATGTTACTCCAAATTATAAATTTGAGTCTCTAACAACTTATCGTTATACATATTGGTATTATGGTATTATATAGCCCGATATTCAAAACACAAGCCCCATATGTACATTTCCGGAGGAATTTGTGAGGCTAAGTTAGATAAATCTCAATATTTGTATACCATTTCTATTATAGGAGCCAACAAGAAAAACCATGATCAAAAAAACAAAAGACGAAAAAATAAAATCAATTGTCATACATTATATATAAAATAGACATAGATTTAGAAATGGAACATTTGGTTTCGCTGCTATGATTCGAAAAAAAACAAAATGAATATTTGATTTTATCAAAAAAAAAAGAATTTTTTTTAAAAAAATTATAAACTAAGGATATTTAATATTTAGTAATTTAATAAATTTAATATTACATGTAATGATAAATGCTAAAATTGTCTTTTGTAATTTGTTCCATATATATCTAATCGAAAAATCAAACAAAAAGGTTCACCAGGATTAAAATTTTGAATTATAAAAAAAGGAATGGAAGGACCACCCGGGATTGGATTCCTTAACGGTGTTTCGTTACTGGTTTCTTCGATGACAGGACCAGGGTTGGTAACAAGTAAGTATACATGTAATATATTTCATGTGAGTGTGTACATTTTTTGATCTTATGTTAAACTGATACATAACGATATAATTTATATGTAGTGCCCTTATTATTTCAAACTTCAGGGTGGATAACGTAAGTTCAGCATAAAATGAGTTTTATAGTAGTATATGAAAAAGATTAGGATTGATTTTTTCTTTTATTTTTTGAAGATCGCTGATAATCGTTTTTCTGATTGTATTTTTATCATCATCCGCTTCTTTACTATTATGTGAAGCAATTGGATCTTTACCCGGTAACGAAAGATTCACGGTTTGTAATATAATATCAATTATTATTAATATGTGTACAATATAAAATCTTTATATTTTCCATTTAATTTCATTAATTTCATTTTATAATGTCAGAAAAGAGTAGAATATTCTAATCTTTGTTCAGAGCTGATTACAAATAAATATGAACGTGCATTTGTCCAAATGATAGTTTATTTGGCAATTGAATCATTTATAATTGCTTCAATCATTATTTCAGCACAGTCATTGGATGGTTTATTTGTTACTGTGTTTGGTATGACTTGTGGAATTAGTTTATCTCCAGACTCTGGATGGCTATGTATTAAAGAGTTAGGTGATGAGAGTAGTCCATTTGGAAATCGATGGATGTTGCTTACAGCTGGATTTATGGTAATATACTTTAAAATAAACACGACGTGTGTGTGTGTGTGTGTGTGTGTGCTAACATGAATTGTTTATTAGACAACATTGTTGTTTGTTATTCCAATGACGTGGATGAGACTATCCAACAATGCTAAAATACAAGTTGGTAAGTTAAAGATATATTTGACTTGAAAAAAAAAAAAATAAATCTTGTCATTTACGCGTAAATTTTAAATAATTATTTTCAGTATCATTTTTTACAATAATATTCGTTATTTTCACATGGATTGCGGGACTCATAATTAACGGATTGGATTCAAAGCGAATTCCCCTTATTGGAGAAAATCAAAGTCAAGGAGTGGGAATCGTAATGTTTAACTATGCGTTTATAACTACAGTTCCAAGTCTCGCTAATGAATTGGTTTGACAAATTCTTTAAATATTTTGTTTATGCGTGTAACGGATTATTAACTTTATACATAACTATATAGGAAAAAGATGGATCAATTCGAAAAATTGTTTACACCTCTATATTGTTTACTACGCTTGGTTATATTTTCTTGGGAATTCTTGGAGCGATGTCATTTGATTTAGATTCATCAACAAATATAATAACCTCTATCCGACAATCAAACATGCGTGACAGTCTTTTTGGATTTTCTACTTACTTATTTCCAATGATATTACTTGTTAGCGTACCAATAAATGTCATTGTTATACGTTATAATCTGGTTCGAACTGGATTTTGTGGAGGCAGTACATCTATTTTATTAAATCAAAAATTACTTCACCATTAATTAAAATAATTAATTAATGGTTTCCTTATTTATTATATATATATAT